TTCTCTTTTCTCCTTCTCTTCTCCTTTACTTTTATTCAGCAAACTGAACAACTCTCTGTTTTTTAAGAAAGTAACAGTCACTTCAGCTAGCATGATGTTGCTGCCATGCCACGCCTCTTTGGGGAAGGGAACGTGTGTTTTCCAGTGTTTAATTCTGTAAACAGAACATTTCTGATTTATTTATAAGCTAGAAATTTGAGCGACTATCGTGACCAGCTTCTCTCGTTAAGAAAAAAAACACTCTTGAAGTGCATGTCTTTGTCTTGCTGAACTCGAAAATCTTTGAGGATGGCGATTCCACAACCTCTCTGGATAGTAGTTCCAGTGCTGTGCCATCCTCTGAATGAAAAAAAGGTTTTGTTGCTGTTTATTCTGAACCTCTCCAGACAAAATTTGTTACTGTTGCTTCTTATATCCTACCAAGGAGAATTCAGCTCTCTTGTCTTTGTAATTCCCTTTCAGATGGCTGGGGGCTGCTGTTAGATATTCTCCTTAGCCTCTTCAGGCTTGAAAAGCCTAGGTCTCTCACAGCCGTTCTTTTTAAGCTGTGTGTGCTATACCACAACCATCTTGGTATCTCTCTGGTGGACCCTCTCTGGTTTTTCCACATCCCTCCTGAGCAGCCTATTCCAAAACTGTAAAAGTTCCAGCATTTAGAAGAAGAGGATAACTTCTTTTTTTCAAACATTTCTCATCTGTGTCCCTGAGAAACAACTTCATGAAGTTCAGCTGTTGTACATCTTAAATACAAATTTAAACTGAAAACTTAAAAAAATAAAAGAATTGGGAAGTAGCTTGGATTTTATGATATGACGAAGTTCCCTTTCAAAATGAGGTCAAACATGGACATTTTTATCTTTTAAGTAATTTGGAAGTTTATAGGTTGAAGGAGGCAGGGGCTTATGATGAAAGCCAATTCATAATGATCATTATTGCATTGCTACCTTTAGTGGCATCCCTTTTTAGAGAGGCTGGTTTAGTATGCTTGTGTTTTATAAGAATGACACTCAGACACTTTCTTTTTAATTGGGAGGTAAGAGATTAATCTGTTTTTAAAACAATCTTCAAACCTGTTGCTCTTGTAGGCAAATGTAAGGTAAGCTTTTGTCTGGAGTCCAGTATTTAACAAGAATATTATTGTAGTTTTTATCAATATGAGCATTGTACAATAAAACGGTTTATGTATCTGTGTTCTTAATCAAAGTCAGAAAAAATCTGTTAAAACAACAGAAGTCAGAAATTTGGTGATATACATTCAGGTCTTGCTTTTTTTGGTTAGGTTTTGAGCCTGTGGTGATAGAAAATGTATTAGAAGGTGATGAGCTACGGACAGACATTGAAGCAGTGGAGGCTAAAATCAAGGCTCTTGGTGCTGAAAATATTCTTTGTGTGCATTCTACAACATCTTGCTTTGCTCCAAGGGTGCCTGATAGGTAAGTAGTCTTTGTAAGAAGTGTGTTATTTGTTACTTTAAAAAAACAACCAACAACAACAACAACAAATGAAACAAAAACCCCCCAAGCAAACAAAACCTCCATGTTCTGAGTGTCCATCTTCCTAAAGTTGCTTAATCACTGCCAACAATTAGTAAAGCTACTTTAATCCCCTTCCTTTAGGAAAATGGCAGGTTGAAACAATGTTCCGCTTTCAGAAAAGTATTTTAAAAAGTGAGAATAATGCAGAAGATCTTCCTTCTGTCATACAGTTGAGGTTAATTATGATCTTTCGTGCTGAAATGTGTGTCATTTTGGCAGTGGTTTTCTTATAATTTCATGGAAGTAGTAAAAGTAGACTTTTGTAGAAACTTAGTCCAGGAAATGTAGTTCCGTAGCTAATGCCACATTTTAATATTGCTGTTACCTTTTCTGCTCTTCTCCTCTAGCCTGTTAATACAGTTAAAAAAAAAATAGAAGCTGCAGCTAAGTTGAACATCTTTGCTTGGGTTACTGTTTCCTGTGGTATACTGAAGTTTCTAGGGCTAATTAAGATATACTGATATAAGGAAACTCTTGGAAGCATCTAGGGCAGATGTATAACATGTACAAGTATAACATATGATTTGCCCAGCTTTAACTTACCTTGCTTTGAACGTTTGCTGTCTGATTGCATGATGCTACTTCTTATAATTTCCAGCTGATAAATCACCATTAAAAGAAGCTTAAAATACAGTGCATTCTTTCCTAATATTATGTGTCCATATGCATAACTTCTGTAGTTGCTGTGAAGATGTCATTCAAGCACTGACTGAAGCTGAGATGAACGTTACAGTTATGGATGGGAAATAGAGAATTTGAGATATTATTTCAATGTGTAGCTTGGTTATGAAATATTTGAAAAACTTCTCAATCTGAAAATGATGTGTTAGAGTAGAGGTGGCTTAAAGCACTTGGTATGTTGAGTCCTTTGTCCAAAATAAGGACTGTTGTTACTCACAAAACCTGCTTTCTCTGCTTATGAAAATAAGTATCAAAAAGCAAATTCATTAGGTTTTACAATTGAACAGGTATATTTTTATGGGCTTGTATGTAGTACACTGAAGTATGACGTATTAGTAAGATGTCTTCTTTTTTTACATGGTTTTAAATGCAGTATGTCACTTTTTCCACTTTAATTGTTTTTAATTTATCACAAAATTGCAAAGACTTATGTCTAGAGTTCCTCTGCAGTACATGGTTTTTTTGTTAATTACTTTGTTGTCTGGAAAATTTAGCTGAATATTTGCAACTGTAGGAAAGAAGCATTATTGGCTCTGAAACATGGCAAATAATGATATGTTTTGCTCTGTTTTCCTACCTTTAAAAAAAGCCCCGGTATTTATCATAGGTTAACCCAGTTGCTAGAAGGAAGTTAAAACCATATAATTCTGTCAGGATAGTATGAACATTGCTTGAAGTTGACTTGCAGATTTATTGGCTAACTTAAATCATAGCTATCAAAATTGAATGGTCTATTTTATAGCTTGGGTAAATGAATCTTTTTCTTATCTGCCTCCTCTTTTTGACATGCAATTGTTTTGTCCTGTGCAACTAAGAGATGAATTATTAGGTAGTGGCACTGTGTTATGATATACCACAGATATAGGAGGATTTGAACGCGCTTTCTATTTAAAGGATACTGTCAACTATTGAAGGCCGTAACATTCATCTTCCTACCAGAAGGAAATACAGCATTTCTAGAGCTTACCATTTTAAATGCCTATTTTAAAATATCTTGCATTTGTAAGGCTTTGTTTAGTTGTGTTGGTTTTAAAATTTTAAGTGGCTTGGGATTGTTAAAAGGTCAGGGTGAGAGTTTTATGCCTGCATACCTATAGCTTTCCTTTGAAGTATTGTGTAACTTTATGCAAATAATTTGCTAGCATATAAACCCTCTTCTTGGAGAGGCATCAGTTCTAATACAGTCTTTTACCTGCTGTTGAGTTAAAACTACCATACTGAAGGAAAAAAAAGTGTCTTTTTCAATTAGTTTATGTACTTAGCAAAACCCTGTGTCTTGTTACTTCCATTAATATTAGAAGAAAGAGCAAAGCTTTCTTTTTTTATGTCCTTTCACAAGCAGGAGAGAAAGAAAGAATAAGCTGGAAAATATTTCTGTGAGTCCTATTTGTGACTTTTAAGAACTTCAATAGTAGCCAAACTTACATTAATGCTTTCTTTTTCTAATATGACTAGCAGCTCTTATAATGGTTCGTTTTAAGCCTTGGAAGCAGGGAAGTGCTGTGCATAATTGTCTGCTTCTCTTGCATAATCACATACTCTTTTCAAACTGTAGCACTCTCATCCTGTATTGTAATATGCATCTAATAGTTCAATATAATATTTTCAGGAGTAGTAAAGAGTCTTTTCTGTTTTCAGTACTTGTAGAATCTAGCTTATTGGTCCTTTAAATCTCAAGAGGTGAGAAAGGCAAACATACGTAGCAATACACCCTCTATGTTTCCACTTTGGTGAAATTCCCTACCTGCTCTTGAGAAGGAGCCTGTTAGAGGGGAGCTGTTTTCCTCTGAGTCTCTGTGGAAGGTGAGGAATGATCAGCAGATCAGAAGGCAAAAACTTTGCCCCGTGTAGTGTTATGTTTCCTCAAGTATTCTGTTAATGTTACATAGTTCAGGATTCAGGATGTTGATAAAT